ATAGCGTAGTAAAGAAAATATTTATTCTGTCAGTGACCTTGATCTTAACAGAATAACCTTGGCTCTGTGTCAAGACAAACACCTGTTAGTGATTAGAAGTTCATAACCCTGACAGGAATTTTACAACTTTTCTGTCATTGGCCGATGAAGATGTTTGAAATTTGCATTGTCTCGCGCCATTTTGTCACAGGTCAGAAAAACAACATTGAGGTATTTTAAAACATCACCGGATATTAATATTCAAACAACATGGAGTTTCTATTTATGAAAGATAGATGGGGTTGAAAGTCCTTTCCATAATACGTATTTTAGGTAACAGCTTTACTTTCAATAAAATTAAACTCAAAAGTCCACAAATGAAATATCTTTCCTCATTTATTTCAAAGTTTGGGTAAAGGGGGCGAGGAGCATGGGGATGTCATGATGTCTACGTAATACATTCGAGGTTATTATTCTGTTAGACAGGAAGACCCGAGGAGTTTTGATTTGCTGATCATGATCTAAAACGCGTTGACAAACCGAAACCACACGGTTTTATACACGTTATTTAATCAATTCATTCATAATTATTTTCCTTGAAGGAGGAATGCATGGATAAAGGATTAAAGAAAATTCCCGATGTACAATAGCATCCATGCATGGACTTCATTTTAGTACTACATAATGATATTGTGCTTGAAGTTGAATTAAATCATCAAATAAATATAAATAGGAAAAGGAGATTATGTTTAATAGAATAAAAATTAGTCAATACTTGATACAGGGACTCGCTGGTAAAAACTTGAATGTACTTGAATAAAATGCCTCTCACTCACTTTCTCTCGTACGCGTATTTTTTAAACCAAGGAAAGTAATTTGCGCTAGATATAAGTTCATCATTTTAAAGAAAATACTCAGTTATATACGGTAAACGATATAAATGGTTTGACTTTGGTGCCGGTTATGATTTTAACAGTTTAATTAAGGTTGTAAAAGCGTTTAATTACATGATAATATTCAGATAAGATTGTTACCCCATTATATAAGTTCTTAAATTTTCGATTCTGGGCATATGCGGTTTATTACATAATTACATAATATGTACTACTTGAATGTACATTGCATAACCTGCTACTGTTATTTAATCACGGAACAAAATTACAATGTTAGCACACTATACTAATCATTTATATGGGTTTTGAATAAATAATAAAACAAAAGAGCAAAGCTTGTGCATTTTAATAAATATTGGTCGAAGTAAAGTAACTGCAGATCGCCAGTTCTTGCGCTATGAATCGTCAAATTACACATGGATCTAACGAATATTTAAGAATTGAAGACTGATTAATGTACATGTAAAATAAATGCCCCAGCGTTTTGTACTAAGGTCAAACCTAAAACATTTTAAGATATTTTTGAAAAATTTAATTTACTTAGAGAAAATAATATTTTCCTACTGTTGTAGAATGGTTTGTATATACCAATTATTTGCCTATGACTGCGGGGTCAATGGTTCACCGGGTGTGTCGCTTTAGAATTTCTCAGCCGCGTGTAATCGAAAGATAGATTACGTAATGGTAAACACACTTAGAATCTGGGTTCCAGGTGAATATGAGAATCGCACAGTAAATAATTGTGTATTATTTGACTCTTAAAAGTTTTTTTTATGAGATCCGGGCGTATATTGTTTCCGTTCAAATTGTTTGTGTTCATATTTAAACGAATAAAATTAAAGATATTCGTGCTTTTTTTCTATAACTCTTTCTCTTGGAAAGATCTTTATTAATAAAAGGAAAATGATACCATCAAATACTCTGAACGGGAAACAAAGAACACGTTTAAAACCTAATTTAAAAAAGAGATATGATACAGCGTGGTAAAATATTTATTACTTACGGCAAGTTTATTTCAATTATACGCATAAAGAGTTCTTCAATATCAAAATGAGAATGGAGCTTTGTTCACGGTGAATACGGATCTAGCTTTCTTTCCTACCATACGTAAGACTGGAACAAAATAATATTTTCATGGGACAGAGATAGTATAAGAATTTAAGGAACAATTTTATCAAGAATTAATTTAACCATTCTGTGGTGTGTTTTTTTTGTGTAGGACTGTAGGTCGCTGGATCACACGACCGACTTTGCCCCGCCGCTATCGAGGGAGGCGCGTTATATAATTGTAAACAAACAAGGTGAATGTTAAAGCCGTGCACTTAATGGCTGTGAATAGTATATGTGCTTTTTAGTTATGTTTTATTTTCTCACTATATTGTTTGCTTTTATGTGATAAGAAGAAAAGATTATATTTTCTTCCCTTTTTAGTAGACTTGGTTTATACGATTTTTAAAAAAATGAAATAAAAGGGAAAGTTGACAGTGAATAAACATGATAATTTGTAAGAAAAAAAGCACAAACACTTCGAGAACTTTATTCTGAAGAATATTAGCATCCAATGTAGCCATGTTTATTACTTATAGTAAGCTTGCTTTGGTTACATGCATGAGAAGCTCTTGTTTACGTGCTGAGTGAGAAGAATTACTTGTGTATATATAGGTCATGCACTAGCTCATTTTAAACAAGACTCCAACACAATAACAATTTCATGAGATCAGTAAGATGTTAAAGCACAACTTTATAATCAATAGTCATTTCGAAATATTTACCGTTTTTGAGTTATAAAGCAAAAACTTTCAAGGTCCCTTGATCCCTAATTATAGGGGCTAGCCCCTTTTGAATATTATATGAAAGCCCTTGCAATTATGCACAACTTTTGTTATGTCTTAACAAAATATTTTTAGTTTTCAAGATAAAAAGGAAAATATGTGTAAATTTTCGCTCTTTTAGGCGTTCTAATTTTTGACCCCTATATAGCGCCACTGGGAATACAGTAATCGAAAAACAAAAACCGATACAACTTCAATTCTTCTGTTACCTAAAATTAGTAAAAATTCTGCTCCAGCTTTTGTGGTCTCTGAGCCTTTATCTGGAAACGGATTTTATATAGATAAAGTGTTTAAAATGATTTTTCGATATGTTATTCAGACTGCAAATGTCTACAGTAACCTAAAATATCTTTGTAAATTCACTTCCAGTCGCGTGATTTCCTGTCCTCAAAATGAGAAGTTATCATAGAGAGATCTCATAAACGGTAAGAGATTAAGACACCAAACTTATAGGACTGGTAGATCTTGATGAGTAGAAAAATCTGCTTGGGTTAAGGTCGTCCGTCTTCACTTCCGGTTGTCACAGGAAGTGATCAAATAAATAAAAAAATTCAACTTTTCTTTTTGGAATCCTTCTTGGCATCACTTTATAGCATCTTATTGTTGTTTCGAAACATGTCAGTCCCACTGGAAACAAAAAACGACAACTTCCGGTTGTGAGAGAAAAACTGCATAAATTGAGAGTCATACTATCCCATCTTTTATAGAAAGTGTATTTGAAATGATTTTATGACATGTAAGTCAAACTGCAAATGTATATAGTAACTTCAAACATCTTTTCAAAATTTACTTCTGGTCATGTGATTTCCTGTCCTCAAAATGAGAAGTCAACTTAGGCAGATCTTGGAAATAATAACAGATCAAAAAGTAAACATATATGAATAATAAACTTTGAAGAGTGGGTAATAGATATAGGATAAAATGCTTCTGTCGTCACTTCCGTTCATCACAGGATGTGAACAAAGAAATCGAAAAACATTTTTATTTTGAATCCTTTTATGGATTTTTGAAATATGTCAGACCCACTGGAAATAAAAAAAAAAAGACAACTTCGGGTTATTAAAGGTAAAACTATATAATATGACTATTTTTCTTTCCAATGAATATCTTTCATAGATGAAGTCTTTTAAATGATTTTAGATATGTTACTCAAACTACAAATGCCTAGAGTAACATTACATATTTTTATAAAATTTACTTCCGGTCGCGTGTTTTCCTGTACTCAAAATGTGAAGTTATCAGAGCAAGATCTCGGAAACGGTAATAAGACACTATACTTATAGGAATAGTAAACCTTAAACATCACATATTGGGTTAAATGTGTCAGCCATCACCTTATGTCCTTACAGGAAGTGATAATAGAAATTGGAAAGTCAACTTCCCTTTTTTTGGATATTTTGTTACATTATTTAATTTGCAACTTATTTGTAGTTTCGACATATAATGATCCCATCCCGGAAGCAAAAATCTCAACTTCCTGTTGTGAGAGGAAAACTACATATTTTGAGCATTTAACTTTCCCATAAATTTGCTTACCGTTGAGGTTTTTGAAGTGATTTTACATGTTATCATCAAGACTATAAATGACATTAGTAACATCAAGAATTATGGTAAAATACACCTCCGGCAGGTTGTTTTCCTCTTCTCAGAATGTGAATTCTGTCTTTAATTCATTTCTTTTTCAGTTAATATTATTTGTAAATAAATGTCTGTTTTAAACATAGAAAAAAATCATTCATACAGATTAATAGAGAAGAATGGAAGACCTTTTTTGTTGCTGTAGCAACAAGAGTTTCTAGTTTATGTTTCTTATTGTAGTCTACTTGTGTGCCAAGTTATATTGAAATCAGACCAAACTGTAGGAGGAGTAGCATTTTGAAAAATTGTTTACAGACAGACGGACAGCTAGACAGACACCTTACCATCCATCGCATATGCTCTTCTGGTCTCTGACCAGTAGAGCTAGAAACAATGCAATTACAATAGAATATTACTTACAACATGCAAAAAAAGAAATGAAGATGTTCATGATGTTCATAAGATTTTCAAAAAGACTAACTTGACCTATAAAGAAGTTTGGGTTTTGTCAACATTTTGAAGAAAAATTCTACAGTAAAACTCATTTAGTATGAACACGGTATTATGAATTCACGGATATAGCGAAGTTATCTTGGATCCCCAGCTATATAAATTTTTATAAACGGATTCTTTTTACAGATATAACGAATTAAGGGTATAGCGAAATAATTTCACAGGTCCCCCCGACCTCGTTATTACCGAGATTTACGGTACTCACTTTCTCCCTCTTTGATATCTTTATCAAATGTTTTATATTCAAAATCCTGCAGTAGATCATTCAGAGAAGACAGCCTTGTTGACAGTAGATTCTCCTCTTCTAGAACACTGTACACCAGGATTTGGGGGGTTTTCTTATAGTCTTGAATGAAAAGCAGAATGAAAATTAAAACTCAAACTCTAGCAAAGTTCATTATGATATATCATAATGTTACATGTATATACGAGGGTTGTTCAAAAAGTTTGTGGACTTATCTCATATTTTTTTAATTTGATATGTTAATCAGAGAAGATGGGCGCATTTGGCGTGTGATCTGCAGGAATCATTTGTACGAAACATTTATGGTTTAAATGTCCATGATTTGGTTGGCTGAACATAGCTGGTCAGATTTTACAAACACGTTTATAGGTTTTTTTATTCATTTAGTTTGAAAGACTTTGTGAGATTGTAACATTTATGTCCGTTTTTCATAGGGGGTACTATAACATAGTAATGTTTAACAAAAAATAAACACCCAAAATATTTATTGCATAGATGCACGATAGGTGTATAAGTACATTATAGAATAGAAGATTGGAATTGATTTCGCTCGAGAACCAAACTGAACCAAAATATATCTAATTCGAAATTTTAATACATCAGTACATAAAACGAAACTGACAAAATAAATGGTTGTTTGCATGAAAAAAAAATTAACGCCCCATGCAAGGCTCGAACCAAAAACTATTGTTACTTAGTGCACTGAACAGGTAGCCCAACTTACTGAGCTATCAGGGCTACACATATTATACAGGTGATTTTAAAAGGACAAAGCACCACATTCACACATTTGGATTTTTTGGGAAATGTTCTTTTTTCGTGGTCTCTGGGTCTTCTCTCCATTTTTTAAAAATGTGTATTAGTTTCTTCGAATTAAAATACACACAAATAACGTTTAAAAATCATGGAGAGAAGACCCAGAGATAGAAAATTTATAGAAAAATGTGTTTAAAAATGTACTATTTTGTACCTAAAGTCTGATTTCGCCAATTTTCAAGCTATTTTTTAGCAAATCAAAGCTCAATTTCGGGAAAATATTTTCATTTCCTGTTGCACAGGAGCCTGATAAATAAAAAGAATTGTTAAAATTTCATGTGACATGTCAATAAAATGTCCACTTTTCAATTATGCCCAGATTCCTGTCGAATGCCAATCAAAAGCGCCCTCGTTCTTTGGTAAAAATATTTTAACAAAAAATTCAAATGAATGAATTAAACAAATTTCAAAAAATCATGATTTATTTTAAACTTATCCACAATTAAAAAAATGGAAAAATGCGATCATGGAGCAGGTCAAAATTTAGTAATTTACAAACTAAATTAAGTCTGTAATCAAATTCTCTACAAAATGGATCAAAACAAAAAAAAATTTTTAAACATTTATATAAAGAACTGTTACATTGATTTATATTCCAAATTATGGCTTGATATCTAGCTTCGCTGAAAAGAAATCAATTTGAGAAGACAAGCAGAACTCATTGAAAATGCCAAAAATGAATACGTTAGAAAATACTGTGGTGAAATGTATATATAGAGATAATTTTTTTGAAAAATTCTTGATGTGTGTTTTTGACATTACATTGCTGTTGAGTATGCTCCATAGTTATAAAACATATTGATTTAAAATAAAGTATATTGATCTCTTAGAAATTAGAGTTAGAATAGTTAGAATTTCTAATAAATATTCATGAGGGAGTAGTCCCAGGGAGTAGCTCTGATTTTCCAGAGAGTAGTTTTCAGATGAGCGAAATAGTCTCTTCTCAGGGAAATTTAGTAATTTACAAACTAAATAAAGTCTGTAATCAAATTCTCTACAAAATGGATCAAAACGAAAAATTTTTTTTAAACATTTATATAAAGAACTGTTACATTGATTCATATTCCAAATTATGGCTTGATATCTAGCTTCGCTGAAAAGAAATCAATTTGAGAAGACAAGTAGAACTCATTGAAAATGCCAAAAATGAATACGTTAGAAATACTGTGGTGAAATGTATATATAGAGATAATTTTTTTGAAAAATTCTTGATGCTGTTTTTGACATTACATTGCTGTTGAGTATGCTCCATAGTTATAAAACATATTGAATTAAAATAAAGTATATTGATCTCTTTTAAATCGAATGGAATGAAACGTCACACATGAACAAAACAAATATTTTTACACATAATATTGTACTTATTTCAAATTTAAAGTAATATAACAAGGATTGCCATTGACCACAAACTTTTTGAACAAGCCTTATATATACCAGTTAATAATGTGTAAATTAAATTTTATTCATAATGAGAGTTTGATACAATTATCAGTTATGCAAAGTAGTGTACTCAAAAAAATAAAGTTCTTAGATATAATTGTAATTTTAAAAATGTTAACTTCTGTATCGCTTATCATTCTAATATAACTATCTCACAAAAATAAGATGTCACAAAATTTTGGTGATTTAAATGAATTTCATTTTTTCAAAATCCCATTTCTCTATAAATATGAAATATAAAGCATTATCTACAGAATGCAACATAAAAATTCCAGTGTTTAAAATATGTTTTAAAAAGTGTACATAATGAAGGTCATTTTCACTCTAGATTTTGAAGAAAAAAAATTTGTTAGTCATCATTTAAAGTACCGGTATGTAAATATTTACCTGAATTAAAGCAATCCAGAGGAGATAAGAATTTGTATTTGCTTTTGTATTTTTGATTGAGGAAAAAACACTTCCAGAGGAGGGCTACCGGTATTAATACACACAAGAGTACACCTAATGAGGCTGGTATGATTATCTTAGGTTGCTCCCAAGAATTGATACAAATCTTCTCTGCAAAAAAAAGTAATGAATATATTAATAACTAGAAAAGAAACTCGTTGCGAGCAACGAAAATCTTCAAACTCCGATTCTGCCCCCCCCCCCTCGCAAAATCGAGCTGAAAAAGTGATAAAAATTTTTATGGAAACAAAGGAGATTGAACCCGGGTCGCCAGCATGGAAATATAAAGCGCTTACTGTTACGCTATTGGGACCATCTCTAAATCTACTTGTATATTACTTCTGAAACAATTCATCTGTCTTAGAATAATGAAAGGCGGTCACTATTCATAATTTTGCGTTAAACGCCACGAGTAAATCTTCGCGCCAAACTTGCTCAAGATGATCACATCGGAACTTGTTACTTGAGTTTTAACAGTAATTTTTAGGATAGATAATCTATTAGTGATGAACAGATGATACTGTTTTCTTTCCTTTATTCGATATGTATTCAACTTTTTATTCCATGCAAAACCATATACAGGCATGGCAATGTTATATATTTCTGCACATTTGTCTACAACTGAAGTCGGCCATGATACATTATTTCGTGCCAAACGTCACAAGTAGTTCTTCACGCTATTCCTTTGAAATGTTTGATCTTTTTAATGGATCTGATAGCTTCAATGAAAATTAGAAATGTATGTTCTTATATACCGGAATTTCGAGCGTTTTGAAAGTATATTTATCACATGGTACAAATATAATATCGTATACGGCCAAGTAACACTAAAGCTGTGAATTCGGTGAGATTTTCCACGAATTTTGTATCCTGTTTACCCCCAAAGTGGAGATGAGTTACATGTTCATGAAAAGACTGGAATGTTTCACTGAAAAAAAAATTCACTCGCCCTCCGACGGTCAAGGAATCTGATATTCTTCATGTTCAATAACTTGCATTTATTACAAGAATATTTATATTACCTTTAATAGACAATCTTTTAAAAAAAATGTTTTTCTTATTTTTGTCTTTTCTATTCATTTAATATGTCATAAGACTGCGAGGTAAAATAAACAGAAGTCAAGTAATACTTCAGAAACATAGTGAATATTAAGTCAGGCAAGTTTCTTGAAAAGCTATATATAACCATGGTTTAGGATAAGTTTTCCCTGGTGCAAAACAAAAGACTGTATTCATCGTATTTCCACTTGTAGTCATGTTGTATTCTACTATGAGATGCAGACAAAAGCAATTTCAATAGAAGTTTGAGGAAACCTCATATAAAAACTATACTCAATGCAACGTAATTGCGATGTAGCAATCTAAAGAATCTTTTACATTTCATAAATCTTTTTGGTAGAAGTTTCGTTCATCTAAACGCTTTGACCTTCTAGAACCCGACTTGCTTAATGGCGGAGTTTACGGAGACCGCCGCCATCTTGGACACGCTTCAGATTTTTAAATGCGAATATCTAGTGTGTGGATTGATCAATTCTTAAATAAATTATATATTTGGCCTTTCCAGTAGGATCCTAATTACCATTAATTATATCAAAGAAAAATATTGAAAAACAAAAAAAGTTGAAAAAGTGCACATTTTGAATTCATTTCCTGTTGCGACCGGAAGTACTTTAGCAAACGAAGTAAAATTGCACATCTATAACTCATGGTCTATCATCTCTAACAAGTCTCCAGTTAATATCTTGAGCCGTTGTCGAGAACATTCGAAGACAAAATTGCATTTTAAAATCAGGAAATTGCCCATAACTTGGCACTGGTAGCGAATTTTCCAACAAACGGAATTTTATATAAAATTCATATAATGACCTATAATTCCTGAAACTTTCATTGAAATCCACTGAATAGTTTACGAGAAATCGCCTGCACAAAATTTTGTCTAAAAAAAAAGAATAATAATAAGAAACAATAGAATAACTATAAGGTCTTCCGTGAAGACAGAAGACCTTAATGAGTGTTCTTTGATTGAATAGAAAATTATTATCAAACTGATTGTATATCTTGTGACACTAAAATTGAATTCACAATAGGGTTAAAATATATTTATCCACTTGATGTTTCATTCAAATTCAGTACTACCCGGTATGTATATACAGTTATGGAATGGGTACAAGGGAAATAGCAAATTTATGGTTCCCCAAGGGAGGAAACTAATTCCGGAGGCGGCGAAGCCACCGAGGGAAATAGTTTCCTGCCAAGGGGAACCATAAATTTGCTATTTCCCGAGTTCCCATTCCATAATTGTTTTATTATACCGACCAATCATAGGCGATTTAATTTTTTTTACCAGATATTCCGACATTTAAAAAAAAAAAAACACTGTAGAGGCATCACAAATGCATGCGGTTTAACACATTCTATGATAAGTAATGCATCGTGTTGTAAAACCAACTAGAAAACTGACCAGTCAGCAAGGGCCCCACCATGGGGTAGAATTAATAGGGTGCAGCTTACGGAATGATTAAAAAATGTACGAAGAATAAGCAACAGCAACTGTATTCTTAAAATTTCAAGATAATTCCTGAATATTCAAAAACCTGAAAATAATATCCTTGTATTTCGGTAGGCAGTAAAGAACAACTTAACATTGAATGTATATTTAAACAATAATGAAGCTTGTGTTATATAAAATGCCAGCCTTCAATGAATGCAAATATCATGAAGGCTTGACCTTAACTTCAAACAAACAGCAGTTGCAGACAAAGGTTTTCATTAATCTTAAAAGTGACAGATAAAGAAAAGTCTACTAAATTTTCTGCAGCAGGCTAGATAATTAATCCCAAGGGATTAATTGTACCTCTCTCATCATTTTCTTCAAAAGTTACACTAAGAACTTTTTCAGTATAATGATAGAATGGGGTTTTTATACAACTATCCTAAAAATTAATAATATTCTTGAATTAACATAAAGTGAAAAAAGTAAATCAAAAAATCTTCTTTAATCTATTTCTTGTTATTAGAATTCAATGAAATCATAACTATTAAACAAAAAAAATTATAAAAATTTATATTTAAATCCACATTTCCGAGTTTTCATAGCATTCCAAATTGACTTAACTTCAAAACAAACTTCATCTGCAGACAGAGGTGGTAATTCATCTCAATTTGACAGATAAAGATAATGGTCTGATTTTCTTCAGGAGGAAAGCTAATTAATCCCAAGGGACTCATAGCAGCATTCAGTTTACAATGGGAACATCTTCAGCAGTTATCTCTCTTTGCCAATGCTTTCTTATATAAAGTTAAGGAATCTACCCCACCACCCCAGCTCCAAACCAGGGGACATAGAGAACCAAACTTAGCATCAAAATATTTATTTCTGCCTACTGAACTACCATACCAAATTTGAACTTGATTGGGCAACCATAAAAAAAGTTATTAGAAAAAAACAGAAAATTTGTGGATGGAAGAGTGACAGACGGACAGACAGACAGACAGACAGACAGACAGACAGACGGACAGACGGACGGACAGAGTGATTACTATAGGGCACCCGCAAATCCTTGCGGGGCCCTAATTAAATTATTTTCAAAAAGTATTTTCAATAATATTTTTTGAAGAATTATCGTTGTCTTCATTTTGCTAGTATGATTTTGATATCGCATGTCGAAATGTTTTGACGTCATAGTTACACTGCTAATAACATGACGTCAAAGACTCGAGATTCCTTGAACGCTCCGCTCCGTCCACTGAACACTTTGATTGGTTAGAATTACTAATAAATATTCATGAGGGAGTAGTCCCAGGGAGTAGCTCTGATTTTCCAGGGAGTAGTTTTCAGATGAGCGAAATAGTCTCTTCTCGGGGAAATAGACAGTTTTATGGTATTAATTCTATATAAAGTAATTACAGTAGAGGTATAATAAAATGTACTATCATACATGTACCTAGTAAGATTCTGTCATTTACATAATTAGGGAGACAGACTTGTTAAGTTTGGGCCAATGGGAATTTGTTTCCAATTCCATTTTGATTTTGAAATGGAATGTCATGTACTGTATATATATTCCGATGTTTTAGAAAATCAATTTTAAGGACAAATGGCTAAATTTGTGTCTCACTAAAATTTCCACTTGAACAGTATACATGTATGTGATGAAAAAATTTTGGAATTCAAAAGTTATGGGCCACATTACATTAAAAAATAATGTAATTATTAAGACTGACACTTATTTAAGAATCAATAAAATACCAAATTTTCCCATTTGATCCCTACGTCTCTCAATGGAGGAAAAATTACAGTCAAACTTCACCTTCCAGGTAAGTCTCCTTTAACTTTATAAATCTATTGAAGCTCATAAAGAAAAATTATCTACAGTCTGAATGCAAAAAAAAGAATGGAAAAAAAAATTTCAAAAATATCAAAATTCATCTTTTATCAAATAAATTTTAGTCAATCCCATAAGCTACTGCAATATGTCTTTTACAACAATTTTTTTTTTAATTTTTGATGGAGTTATTTGTACTGAAAATTCCTTCATCCATAAAATTCATTCAATTTTAATATGAAAAAGTACCTCATCAATTATAAAATATAATTCTGTTATATACAATATTTTCTCACCCTTTTTAAATAGATATGCTTCATATACAGAGATGATTCCACTGTCATTCACCACACACTGAACAGCTTTATCAAAATCTTCTTCTGTTATATTCAGAACCTGCAATTTGCATTCATGGGTCAATCCATGGTCACTACAAAGAAAAACTAGATACATTTAATATTATACATTTATTGACCGAGTTCGAGGGCAACATGCATTTTGTCGGACCCAAGAACCAAACTGTCTGCCTGAGGCCGTTAACTAAAGATTCAAATCTCAAATGGGTCAATTATAAGATCATACATAGAATTCCTGGAACTATTAAATTATTGTTCTTATCTAAAATTAAAGATAATCCACTGTGCTCTGTCTGTTATCCTGAGCAGGAAACTTTGAAGCCTTTTTTTTACGGTTTTCCTGTTAAGGGAATATGGGATTGTTTAGAAGAATGGATTTTACAAAAAACTAGAAAAAATATTAACTTAGACCAATTTCTGTTTATGAGGTATATCTGGCAAAGAAACACAGCTTTAAATGTCATTATCTTGCTTGTAAAACAGTATATGTATACCAAAAATCTATAAATTGTAAACCTTTGAGATTCAATGAAGTTAAAATTATTATATGTAAATACTATAGTTTTGAAAAATACTTGTTTGCATTAAATATGGAAGACCCGCAGATCAAAGAAGATGGCTATTTTTAGACAATCTTTTTGAAAAATAATCAGCTGTATATATCATTCATAAAGAAACATTGTAATTTTTACTTATATATTTTTTTTTAATATAGTGACAGTAAACATTGTAATATGTATACAATTATACATGCATATTATAATTGTATATTATGGAATAAACATTTTTTTGTACTAGTTACTACATGTAATTATGAAGGGCTTAGACTTTCCATTTTGAAGCTATTACATATATAGGTGATACTGAATTGGAATGAGTGAGGTGAAAGAATCAGTAAATGAAAGCTAAATAAAAATCTGCAATGTTTATATACATGTATATACATATACTGTTATTTGAATGTTGAAATGCGGAAATATAAAAAAACAAGATGTGTTTGTGAAACACTATGCGCCCGGCAGCAACAAAGTTCAAAAAATCTATTTTTAGCATATTGATCACAGTCAAGGTCACAAGGTCATTGACCATGGTGTCATTTGAAAGAACTTAATTGGTGGAGTATGCATACTAAATATGAAGTCCCTATCTCCTACGGTTCAAAAGTTATGGCAAAAAGTGTAAAGATATATTTTTAGCATATAGGTCACAGTAAAGGTCACAAGATCATTGACCTTGTTGTCGTCTGAAAGGACTGGTGGAGTAAGTACACCAAATATGAAGTCCCTATCTCCTATGGTTCAAAAGTTATGACAAACAGTGCGTCGAGGTGATAAAAATGGCAACGCCGACGCCGGGGCATTAAACACTTCGTCGAGGTGTAGCAACATCAGCTTTAAATGTAGAACATATTGGAATATCCTTTCAGGATGATTCTGGCTGTAAATCATTATACATTTTTTTTTTTTTTGAAGCGTTATAACCATGCAACCTGTATGTGTTACATATAGGTCACAGTCAAAATCACAAGGTCATTGACCATAGTGTCATTGAAAGAACTTAATCAGTGGAGTACGCATACCAAATATGAAGTCCCTATCTCCTATGGTTCAAAAGTTATGGCAAAAAGTGTAAAAAGCTATTTTTATATATCACAGTCAAGGTCACAAGATCATTGTACCTTTTACTTATATATTTTTTTTTGGATATAGTGCAGTAAACAAATATGAATACCTATTATACATGGTTCAAATAGTTATGTAAACAGTGGAAAAAGCATTTTTTTGTATATTCACATATATAAGGTCATACCTTGATGTCATTGGAATGGAGTCTATTAGTGGAGTATGAATACCAAATATGAAAGTCTAAATAAAAAGTTATGCAATGTTTATATACATGTATATACATATACTGTTATTTGAATGTTGAAATGCGGAAATATAAAAAAAAATATGATTTTTTCATGGACAAAGAAATCTTCATGTCTCCCTCACTATCATGCAATAAATGTATTATGTTCATGAGGAACATAGCAATTAGCAAACCTGTTTTGTTGCATACCTGACAGAACATGGTATTACTTTGCTGTTCTTTGCTTCAGTTCTCATGGAGACTGATTTAAACTCATTCACTCTGTCACAAGCAAAGTACTGTTTACAGGTGAACCAAGCTGAGTTGCCAATCTCCAGGTTTGTCCTGTTTTCAGGTTCAATTGATTCTTTGTTTGGTCTGCATTCTTTGATTATAAAAAAGAGCTATTATAGATACATGTAAATATGTTACCGGTATACAAAGTGAATTAAGATATTACACTGTTCATAAACATGATAAAGGTAATGCTTGATTTTGGTAAAGCATTCAGGAAGTCTTAAGTAAACTTCTATTGCTGGAATACATGTATCAATATTAAAAACCTAGATAAAAGGCCCATGGGCCAAATCACTCACCTAACTTTGGCCATGCCGTTCTTTACCAGATTTTCCCCTATCAAGAACCAATCCTACCCCTTCCCAAGATTTTTTAATGACCCTACCCTATTTTCCTCTTTTCTTAATTATATCCCCTTGAAAGGGGAGAAGTTGAGAAGAAGTTGAAATTGTGATAGAGGGACAGGTGGATGATGGACAATGGGTGATCAGAAAAGCTCACTTGAGCTTTCATCTCAGGTGAGCAAAAAATTATTCATCTTAGATTTTCGTCCAATATTCATGCAGTGAAGCGATAATCAAAATAAAAGAGAGTAAAGAAGGTTTGATTTCAATCAGTCTGAGAGTTATTGAATATTAATTTTGCTTGGATTTCATTTCAGTTCATCTTCAACTCATCTTAAATTACAGAAAATTGAGTAGAAGGTTGCCTACCCTTGAACAATCTTAAGCAACTCTCATACTTACTAAAAGCTTGTACAATATATTTTTGACAGACTTCTTTGGATCCGTTTTGTCCAACAGCTCTGCACTCGTATGTTATATTCTTATTCAGGTTTCTGACACTTTGCACTTTAAGTATTTCACGTCCATTAAATAATTTTGGACCCCAGTCATCATCCGCATCTTCAATTAACCCATTGTCATCATACCATCTCTTCTTTTGATTCCTGGCATTAATAGAAAGACAGTTGCAGCTCAGATTCAATCCCGTACCGAATTCAGCATAAGTAATTTTGGTATCAACGTCTGAAAAAAAAATTTATAAGAATATGCAGTATTATTCCATTTCAAGCAGTCATGATCAAAATCATTTTAGCTTGTGAATATTTCAGTCTACAATAAAACTTATTATAAAAATTTAAGGGATTCACCTTAAGCTATTTCATTTGACTTAATTCCCTTTTCATGTAATACGCCTGGGTCAAAATGAGAATTTTTGACATTGAGTGTGTTGGAGAGTTATTTCATGGGAGTCCAGGAGCAACCCCCACCCTCCCCGGGAATTTTTAGATAAATGTTGAAAACAAAAAATATTTCTGACAGCTAAAGATGAAATTACTTCACTATATCTGTAATTTGTTATATCTCAAGTGTATAAGGAATTCTTTAAATTTACATAGCTATATATAGCCATAGCTTGGGGATCCAAGATAACTTATCTGTAAATTAATTCACAATATTCGTGTTCATAATAAACAAGTTTTACTGTACATGTAAGAACCACGAGCGATAGTATTGTTCTCCCGCCTACCTCTTAGTCAATTTTCAAAAGTTAACATATTTGAATGATTTTCGAAATTTTTATAGATATTTATATGAATTTTCATAAAACGTTTCTTATTTGGGATACCAAAGAGAGATAACTCTATAATTTTGGTTAAACTTGTGTTTTTCACTATAGAAATCAACGGAAAACGGAAAATATTTTTAAAACATCTCCCCCCCCCCTTAAACAAAAATTCCTTTTCACAGGTAATATGGACTGTCATTTAACAAATTTATGCCAAAGCTTTTTGTGTTTCACGGGGGAACATATGTTTGTAGACAAAAAACGCAAAAAATGCTGATTTTTCACAATTTTTAAAGCTATTAACAACTAAATAATTGTATTTTATTTATTTATATATGTTTTATTTATTTACGTAAAATATAAGAAAAGATATGAGATACATTTTATGATATTTAAAACTATTTCAAAATATGGTGATGCTTGAAAGTTCGATTTCACCATAAAATATCACCTACCCCCCTTTTTTTCAAGAGCTGGAATTAATGATAATTTACTATCTAGCGCTAGAAAAAAATGATTAATCAATTACCATAGACCTGATCTTTGTATTAAACAAAGATTTAATGGCTAAATTGCCATTAAAATTGAATTTAATGGGTGCAAAATGTAGGCGGGAATCAAGAGTTAGAGTTTGTAGTTCTTTAAATGTTACTTTATGTGTAATCAGGAAATTTTCAGTGACTTAACGGGGTATTAAGACACTTTTTAAAAAAAAAATGGAAACCCAGAATTTTACCTGTAAATAAAAGTTTAAAACATTAGAACTTACATCGAGATCCCTAAATTCAAAATCTTTCCAAGGGGCATAACTCATAAAGGGACATTTTTCTGGCCAAGTGAGAAAAAAGATTGAAATGAAAAAGAGAATATCAGGATTTAAGTGACTAAATTATTAAATTAGACATTTGTTTATTTCTATATTTTCATGGAAAAGGACTGGGAAGTACATTTTATAATTAATTCCTTGTACCGATAGTCGTTGCAATCATTTTCTGTAACAGTAAACACATGATAAATAAATACCTGATAATTCTGTAGGTTTTATTACACAGAAGAGAATTATCCATAACTTTAGTGCAGACGTTCTCATAAGTGGTTCAATTCCAACAGCTAGTCATTAAAATCATCTTCAAAATATTTATTTATTTTCTTCTCAGTAGTATATTTCTATCACTGATCTACTCAATTTTGAACTTCCTGTTTCTTGAGTCATATGTACACATTACACAGTGCAGCTTTACACCATCACAGCATGCAGGAAACAGACTGGTAAAGCTAGGTCAAAGATATAAATAAAAATGTAACTCTTGTAAGTTAAAGCAAATTAATATCACTAAGTTGAGCAAGAGATTTAAATATACATGTAGATATTATATCATATGTCTGAGTTCTCAAAATTGATCGAATATTTTGATCATATAAATGAATTTTATAAAGTAAAATAATTATTTACAATATTTAAAGATCTATAAGCATTGAACTTAAAACAAATAATCAGAAAATTATAATTATTATTTCCTGGACACAATAAAAATTAATTTTGCGTATTGTAAGTTGTAAGATTTAAATCTCTTAAAGTATTAATTAGTACGACATGAAGTTCATACATGTACATCACAGGTATATTTCTACAATTAAAGTAAATTAAAGTAAATTTCAAACAATTAATTTATAATTTGATGATTAACAATTCGCATTTTATGTACTAGTTAATAGTTACTAACTAGTTCCAGTTGTTATGTAATACATCCATGTTATAATAGGGTTACAATAATACGATTCAACAACACGTGCTTGTTCTTTTTATATTATATATCAATGAAATTTAAGCAAGTAAGTCAAATATATATGCATGATTTTTATTTCAATGTTGTTTTCACTGAGTATCAATTTTGCTAGTTTAATTTGAATTTGATGATTAACAATATAACTAAACATACAGATTGATACAGACAATGTGTAGTTTAATTTGATGGATTGATACATAAGAGGGTATTCAATGATTTGTATGACTCATCCTCACAATGTCAAAGTTTTATGATTTAGAAACTCCTAGCACAAACCCTTGACACAAGTCGCTACTTATAAAGTCAGGCTTGTGGTTACACACGATATAATGGGTAAATATTATATATATATATTAACCAATGAAAATATAGTTTTCAAATCCATCGTTTTCAAATGGTCCAACTCCAGAGCATATCTTCTGATTTTTGTGATTGCAAGGAGGAGGATCTTCCAAAACTTAATTCCCGATGTCTCATTTAAAGTAACTAGTCACAAATTCTAAAATATTGATAACTGCTAGGCCAATAACTTACGATATGGTCATGCGATAGAAAATTTAAATTAAAAATTAAATTAATTACCGGTAACTGATATCTTTAGGCCAAAATAATATTAGTCTTGTTTCCTGCTTCCCGACCTACCGTATTTCTTTGCACCCGATCCTAAAGGTTTTTTTTTAGTTTTGGGGGAAAAAAATTGGGAATTTGAGGAATTTCATGTTCCAGAAATGAAAAAAAAAATTATATACAAATTTAAGCTGTATTTCATGAAATAGTATATTTTAATAAAATACCACTTGAGTCATGCATCAAAAGACATGAAATTTAATTTTATAGATAAATTTAACCTAAGACATGTTTTATTTGGTTTTATATAAGTTCATATCCAAAAAAGTACCGTTGGAAAAAATAAAATTAAATAATAAAATAAAATAATTTTCCTACCTAACTTGCTACCCTATTTTTCAGGCTGGTAGCAGGAATCAAGATTATTTTTTGGGGCCTTACATTATTCTTGCCTGCTACCCTCTGCAGTTATAATAAAAAAAGAAAATCTTGAGATCCCTACCCAAAGTTATTTATAGGTGGACTAAGTCTTAATTAATAAGTAAATTAAAGTTGACTTCCAAATCTTCTTCTTACCTATTCATACCAATGACTTTTCATATCAACTTAAACCATATCTAAGAAGGAGGGGTCTGTGTTTTCTAGGGGGGTCCAAGGTCACTTTTTACTTGGTTTAGTATAAAAATTTAGTAACTCCGCAAATTCCAGGGGGTACAGACCCCCCCCCCCCCCTCTTCAACCCAACCCCCCTCTAGATCTCCGCATGGTATTTCACTGTTGAAAAGATGTAATATTAAATGCTGATTTCAACAACTTGTTAATCGATTGAAGGTGCATGATTATATAAATGCATTAATGGCCATAAGAAAGGGGGAGGAGCAATAATTTTGCAGATATAGTATACTATTAAAAATTTGCTAATGTCCCCTAGCTAAAAAAGTCTGAAGGCTTTTTTTTCTTGTCAAGGAATTTTTTGTAGTTACTGTTGATATGCCCCAAAATGAAAATGTATGCCTCCCAAATGATATTGCCTCCTACAGGCCTGATAAACATGTGATGAATGAAAGCCACAAAAACTGGGTACTTTGGTTCCAAGAAGTAGGAAGCAATTTCAGTAATCCGAGATTCCTCTGACTCTTACCCCAGCTTAAATTATATCATGACTTGTGCGGGGTAGAGTCCGAGCGGAGGCCATATTGAAAAGTGGGAATTCAGCGACACCAGCTGATGTCGCAACTCTGCTTACCTTTTACAACTTTATTTCGTGGAGCTAACTCCCGAGACACCAGAAATCATTAAAAAATATTATTCTCCGACTTGTTAATTGTCATTAAAAGGATGCTACCGCATTTAAATGGCCCTATCATGACAAATGAAGCATCACTTGCATTA